CATTTAATATTACCCACTCAAACTTTAAATCATAGCTGATGAATATATTTCAACCCTTTCAGTAGAGGGCACTAATGAAAAATATTACTGTGCAGGGTTTTTTTTTGCTTTATATGATTTGCATACTTTTAGTATTTTTGTAAGGAAACCATTTAAACACTTCACAGAAATCCTTTGATGGTGTGGTTGAGACTATTAAATTGTGCAGTGATAAACATCAACTTACTGTAAATTTAGTTGTTAGGCTTTTTGTACTATGTTCTCATTTTAATCAAAACAAGAAAACTTCCAACTATTTCTGTAAATCCAAAACCACGTTGACGTAACCATTATCCAGTGAAGTCTTGAAGGTACTCAGTTGTCACCTTGTCATCTTGTTTTAGATAGGTTAAAAGCTGAATACAAAGCCTAGATGTACAGGAATGTACATGTTCTTTACTTAGATAGTTTTGAGGAAGCCTTTGTTCTATTTTTAATATTTATATGAAGGAGTAATCACATGGAAGTGAATCACATTCATTTAGGGATCCTTCCTAAACAAAGCACCTTGGTCAATGCCATGCTTTCAGGGAATGGGTATTTAATAATCTTTGCTTTGAAAGCTCACTTTTCCCATAAAATAAGTAGTTTCTATTCCCTCTGTGTTCTAAAATTTACTGTGCAGGTCATACATTCTTGAAGTTGATGGACTGATTGCTCTAAATACCGAAGTATATAAACAGTGGCAGGAGGGAAATTCTTTAAGTCCCTACACCTTCCTACTGTGGTGTGTGTTGAAGAAATAAAGGGTAGAACATTCTAGGCTGTTAGGGCAGTTTGTTCTCTGGATGCATGCTCAGGCCATGCACCACTTAATTTTTGCAGTTTCACGTATATGTATGTGTATATATAAATACACTTCTTGACTAGGGACTAGGAGCTGCCATGGCAGCTGCAGGAATTATGTGAAGAGTTTGCAGGTACTGTTAGCTTTTGGTTCTTAACAAGATGTACAACTTCTGAGACACTGAATCGTATTATAGATGCTTGAACCATTCAGGTCTTGAGCCCTGTGAAATTTAGAGTTAAAAATTAATGATGAAATAGAAGCAGCTGTTTAGTGACTAACCTAAAGAGCATCTATGCCTTGAACATTGAACTTTGATATATGCGTCATCCTGAGTGTTGAAATCTTGCAGTTTAATAGCATGATAAATAAACAACTGGTAAATAAATTGAGTGACAGATTTACAAATACTGTTTATTGTCATAACAATCAACAGTGGCAATTCCAGTATAACTTCATAGTATATGTACTATTTTTAGTGGGTAGACCAAAGCACGGCAGGGGTAGGTGATACAACCCACAGCTCTCAGCAACTCCTGGACACAGGGTGTGTTTGCCTTCAGTAGATTCACCAGCCAACTTTCTGTGGTCCCAAGATCCGCTCGAATCTCTGTGACCTGTGTCTCTGTTCACCCAGTTCTCTGCTTTTCCATGTGATTAACACATAAAAATCACTGGACATTGAATTGAGGGTAGTTTAAACCAGGTGAATCTGGATTTCTCTCTCTAATTATATTTTCACTGGTCTTATAATAATTCTGAAAGTTTTAACTTGAATATAATTCTGTGCCATCTCCCTGATTTCAGCTGGTGTTAATTCATATAGATAAGATCCAGGCATTTAAAAGATAAAAAAAACTGTTAACTGATGTTGACCATTTGCATCTTAATTATTTTCTTCATTTTACCTGGATATTTCTACTTCACTTATTTCAAGAAACAAATATGACATATTTTTTATGGTCATATGCATCATTATAATAAAACGGGTTAAATCTGTTGTATCTGCAGTTCTGTTGCAAAGAAGTTGAACTACATCTTTAAGCAATTCTACAGTGAAATGCACATTTCAAAATCCTGGCTTGAGAATGTAGCAGTAAAGTAAGAAATAGTTGGTAAGTGTTTGAAAAATACAAATTTTACATTTCTCTATTAAGAGAAAAATATTTTTAAAAAAATTAAATTATCCTCCATCTTACTACCATCTTTTAAATAAGTGTGCCATTACAAAATGCAGGAATCCATAGGACATTGGAACAACTTTCTTGGTTTGTCCTTTTCCTCCCAGGTTTAGCAGCTTCCCCAGTGGTTAGTGCAGCCCTCCAAGCAACTAATCCTATATCTATAAACTGCAATGTCAAGGGATTAGAGTGTGCCTGGGAACACAGGTCAAATCTGCTTTAGATCACAACAGTTTGGGTTCAGCTCCTAGCTGAAGTATCACAAAACTACCATATAATTTAGTACAAGTTTTGCATTCCTATACTTCAGCTGCTGGTTTCCTTTAATGAAAAGAGGCCCAGGATTGATTTCCCTGAGAAGGTATTTTTCTTTGTCTCAAACCAAAGTAGGATCAGCTGGAAAGTAGAAGGATTTCTTAAAATAATTCTATGTTTTATATAAATAGCTCTTTCAAAGTCTGCTTTTAAAATAGTGTAAAAAGTACAGTATGGCAAGTTTCTGATGATGGATGCATGACATAGAGAATTCCCTGCCCTCTCTCTGCCTGGCTGAACACAGTGACTTAAGGGACAGGGCAATGGCAACAAGTTCCTGCCTGGCACAGCTGGTGTGTCTCCTCTGAGACTGCCCCACCTCTCCAGGTGATGTAGAATAACAGATGTGAGGCTCTGCAAGTACAGTAATCAGGATAATGGTTCACCTGGCTTGGAGGTGTCGCTGAGGTTGTCACCCTGCACCCCTCATCAAAACTGCTTCTGTAAGAAAAAAGATGGGTCATTTTCATAGGAGACTCCTTCTGAAGGGAACAGAAGGACCCACTTCTTACAGAAACCTGCTGCCTCCCTGGGTCCCAGGTTAAAGATGGGAAGAGAAAGCTTTCCACTCTGATATGGCTCTTGGATTATTATCCACTATTGATTTTTCACCTAGGCAGCAATGAAGTTGCAACAAGCAGTCTGAGGGAAACCAAGAGAGACTTCAGGGCCATGGGACAACTGGTTAGGGAATCAGGAGCACAAGTTGTGTTCTCCTCTGTCTTCCAGCTGCAGGGAATCATGAGGGAAGAAACAGGAAGAGCCAGCAGATCAATACCTTACTCTGACCAGTTGTTCTCCAGGTATCCAGGCCCCTGAGCTGGAAGACAGGAATGGTAAGCAGACTGAAGCCCCAGTAATCTGAGAGGAAATGGTTGGTGATCTGCTACACAACTTAGACACACAGATGTGTGTAGACAGCAGGACGAGGGCAGTGATTGTCCCCTGTACTTGGCACTGATGAGGCCACACCTGGAATCCTGTGTTTTGAGCCTCTTACTACAAGAAAGACATTAAGGTACTGGAGGGTGTCCAGGGAAGGGCAGCAGAGCTGGTGAAGGGTCTGGAGTACACGTCTGATCAGAAGCACCTGAGGGAGCTGAGTGGAGAAAAGGAGGCTCAGGGGGACCTTATTGCTCTCTACAAATACCTGAAAGGAGATTGTAACCAGGTGGGAGTCAGTCTCTTTTCCCAAGGAACAAGTTATAGGACAAGAGAAAATGGCTTGAAGTTGTGCCAGGGAAGGTTTAGATTGGATATTGGGAAAAATTCCTTCACGGAAAGGGTTGTCAAGCACTGGGGCAGGCTGCCCCAGGAAGTGGTTGATTCAACATCCCTGGAGATATTTAAATGATGTATAGATGAGGCACTTGATTTAGTGGTGGATGTGGCAGTACCAGGTTAACAGTTGGACTTGATGATCTTAAGGGCCTTTTCCAACCTAAAGATGCTGTTATTTTATCATATTTCCTGAATGTTTTGCTGTTTACTGTGTTATAATGCCGAGATCTTGTAAGCATCTCTTAGTGACATGCCTTGCCTTCCATTGGAGAGCCACTGAGACCAGGGGTGCTGCACACAGGTGTAGTGGCATATATTAGCTGAGTCTCATCTGAAAGTAAAGACAATTATTTTTAAATATTTTTTTATAAAAATATTAATCTAATTTGCGCAATATATAGAATGACATGTGCAGTAGAGCAGGCATATGTAACTACATCAGTTTTATTTATCTTGAGTCACCAAGAAAGCCCAGCTGTTTATACCTAATTATCTGCAAATGCAATATCCAGAATCTCTCTTACTTTACTTTGTTGATACTTCTGTTAGGTACTGTGTGTGTGTTTGATGGTTATTCCTTTGTGAATTATTACAATATATTTTTACTTCTGCAAAAATGTTGCAGTTATCCTTTTAGAATATTTGCTTGATCTTAACATTGCAATATAGCTGAGAGTAGGTATATTAATTCATTTTTGATTAGTGTGGATGGGTTTTTAATAAATTTCTTTGTATTTTAAGGCTACAGTGTATTCTATTATCACAACATAAACTGATTACCAGCTATAGAATATGTCTATTTCATTATAACATACAAAAAGCAATATTATGTGCCAGTGTACGCACCACAGTGAAAGGGCTGTGTGCTTTTATGCTTGTGCTGACCAAGTTTACCTGTATTGAACTGCAAACTGAAAACCCTGTGTGTTGTCAAACTGTGAAGTTACCATCACAGTAGCTGATGCATTTTAATTTGGTTGGTTTACTTGGAGGAAATAGTTTACCAGAAATAAAAAGCAATGTACTTTTCCTGACATGTAAAGCCCGCCAGGACTGAGCGGAGGGCTCCTGCCTGCTGCCCTCTGCTGGGGTTACTCCTGCTGGAACCAGCATTGCTGGTGCTTCCAGGTACATCATGATCCCCAAAAGACTCACCTCTGAAGTTCTTCGCTGTCTTATCATAAAACTGAGCATTTCATAACCATGTACTTGTTTGCTTCATCTTTTAAAAAATTTAACATGGACACTCCACAAATCCTGCCTGCGTGTCTGAGGTGCAACACGCCTGGAAACCCCATTTCATTTCAAGTGGGGGACTCGTTTCCAAACTCAGCCTCCCGGGCTGGGCTGTGGTGCTGCAGGACTCCTCTGACAGTGGCTTTCTCGTGTCCTGGCAGGTTCTTCGCTCTGTGCTGCTGTTCCCAACGATCGAGCGCATGGCTCAGTCCCCACAGGGGAAGCTCATGACCCCGCTGCTGTGCAAGCTCCGCTACGCTCTGTACATGCCCGTCTACCTGCTGTCCTTCCTGCCTGAGGGTGTCAAGGCCTCCCTGGTGCGGTTCGCACTGCGAGGAATGAAGACCTGTGATGAATCTTCCATAACAACCTCCATAAATCTCTTCAGCGTCGACTGCATTGGTGAGCACCTTTTCTGTGTTAAAACTATCTTTTGTATTTTTCTCATTTAGTAAATGTTGATTTAGTTTTGTGGACAAAAAGCTTAATGTTAAAGCATAAGTTTTTTCAGAATAACAGGTCTGATCTTTTCTGAAATTAGGACTGTGGGTACAGGAAAATCTCAAATAGTCAATCAAAAAAAAATCATAGGGGGAAATTAACAAAATATTTTCCCAAAGGATATATATTTCTTAAGAAAACTGACCTGTTCTACTAACGTGATTTCTCATGTGATTGAAACACTCTTTTTACAATCTAGTTTATGTGACTTATGTCTGCCTACTTTTTGCATTTCATTCATACTGGATGGCAAATATAAATCAGTAATCAGTTTCACAAAGGGTTCTTTGCATCTGTTTTTTTAAAGCTATGATTTAACCAGCTGTATAGACTCTGTCAGCTAAATTGGAATATTGGTAAATTCAGAAAAGAGTCTTCAACCTACAACGACATATAGAAGTTACTTTATGCGAAGAATTTCAGCACTTTTTTGGGCATAAAAAGAAAGATTAATGTTCCTCTAGTGCATATTGTATGCGTATTTTGCACATTCTAGAAAGAGAAACAAATTTAAGAAGGGGAGTAATTTCAGATAAATTATGTTAAGTTTAGAATGAAAACCAGAACGTGAATTGTGCTATACTCCAGGTATTTTGGTAAGTTAGCAGTTCAAAACAATTTGGAATAGAATTGACATGCTAACACAGTAATAATAGCAAGAAGGAAGTTTTGATTGCATTAATAGTAATAAAAACACATTCCTACATTTCCAGTTGGGCTCTGTCTTCTATCAGTTAAACTTTACCTACTAATTGTTCGAACAGATGTGCCAGAGTACCTGGGTTTGCAGCGAGGTCCTGTACCTTTCATGGATCTCTGGATGTGTTGGTCTGTGTGGGAGGCTCTCTGTTGGACAGTACAGAGCCTGGAAGAAGGATGGGCAGGGAGGGTTCTTAGTGCCAACCCAGACAGCCCCATTTATGTTGTACAAACTGAACATAATGACAGTCACTCCACTGCAGTACTCTGTGCCTGACACAATCAATCTCCTGATTGATAATGTGGATTTCTGATAGAAGTCCTATAGTTTGTTGCTTGAGTTCCTATTAATTTATGTCAGTTTCCGGTGGCAAAGGAGAAAACAAGCACACAGTCATACCTACACTATGTGTTCAAGCATCTTCCTTTGATAATTGTGTCTCAGAGAAAAGGTATGTGGCGGACTGTGGGGTCACATTTCCACAAGCCAGGAATCCTTCTCTGGTCCTCACAGATAAACTTTTACCTTTAAAAAGCAGGTTATACACAGCCAGGGTTGTATTGGAAATGGTCCTTGGCCTGCATTAACCTCCAAAAAAGCATGGCCAGCCATTGTTTGTATGTGTTGTTTGGCCCAGACCACAGCCAGTGGCGGGAATAATTGAACAGAACAGATTTTGTATGCTGCTGTTAGAGCCTGACTCCCTGAGCTCTTCAGTCCCCGGGTGAATGAGCCCAGTTGATGTGTACCTGTCAGCCTGTTGTAATTTCCTGTGTGCACAAGTGTCTGACCTGTGTCTGAGCTGTAAGGTAAATTGAGGCAAGAAACCAGGCTGAAGGTCCTTCACTCCTAGGATGTGATCTCTCCCTATGGTCAGTTTGTTGGCTGCATGAATTACACCACAATGAAAACCCCTGGGAGCCAATGTCTTGTAAAACTTGCATAAATAGGCCTTATTAATGCAACTTGTTCCTTTGGGCTTGTGATATCATCTCTCTCAAGCAGAATTCCGCTTTGATTTCATCTTTGGAAACTGATAATGTTTTACAGCCCAGTGACTCAGGACCACGTGTGGATTAATAATCTTTGGGCTTTCCGGATATTGCCTGTTAACCTTCTCTTTTATTGTTTGAGGACAATAGAAAATGTTACCATTCAGCAAAAATTTGCTAAAACCTAGCACAACAACTGAGTCTGTCTTATGGGACTGCTCATCTGTGAGTTGCTGAAGCCTCTGAATTTATGGTGGATGCTTTTTTGAACATTTCCTTGTCCTTTAATAAATTGCTAGATATGGTTCAGAAATTTTCAGCAAATGAAGTTGTTTCTCTTCTCCAGGAAGGTTGCATGTCAACTCATTAAAAATACACATATTGCCTTTGGCCTGTACCTCTGTTGCATTACTGTAATTGTAATAAAAGCTGTGATTAAGAGCAGAAAAGATGGTAAAAGTTTCCTTAAAACTAGTACGTCCGTTAAAACAAACCAACCTGCCAGGGATTTGTTACTACATCCAAAGCTTAGTCACAACAATGTTTTCTCTGCTCCGAAAGGAAATGAGATTTGAAAACTTAATTAGAGCGAAACCCTAAGACCAAGTGCTTCTCCCGTTGACACCGAGAGTGAAAAGCTCCATTCAGTGGCAGCAGGATCAGACCCTTGGTTGAAAGAGTCTGTGAAGGAAGAATTGTTTTACCTATCTGTCCCACTGTTCCAAATTATGTTTGCTCCTGCTTCTTATCCAGGAATCTCTTTCTGTTGTCCTAACTTCATAGTTGATGACACGTAGAAGCCCCAGTCACACAGCAGGAGGAATTGCGATGACACTGCAGACAGCAGCAGGAGGAATTGCGATGACACTTCAGACAGGGAACATAATATAATGTCTTGTCCCAAAGGGGAAACAGTACAGAAAGAGGAGAGACATCAGGGACTGTAAAGAAAATGGATTGTAGGTAAGGATGGGAAGATATAGTGTATAAATAATAAAGGACCTATAAGAAATAAGCTAAAGGGGCTTAAGGGGCTTTGCTTACCTGGATAGGGCAGAAAAAGCATTACAATGAATAAACAAGCACTTGGGTACTTGAATAGACAGAAAAATTGAACATGAGTGACCCTGAGTTATCTGAAACATTGTCACTCTGTTTATTCAGGCTAGCAAAACAAGGCTACCCATATCTAGCACAGTGGTGATGGTTCTACAAATCATGTACAGTCCTGCTGTGCTGGAATACTTTGGCACTCCGGTGCCCTGAAATTTGTAAACATTTCTTTGGTGACAGATGCCAGTAGCAGACTTACAGTGACAGTAAACCATTCTATCTACACGGGACAGGATTTATTGTCCAGCCGTTTGACTGGCAAACTTCCTCCATTTGTTTCTGTAGAATTTCCACAGAAGCACAGACATTACATAATGGGTAAACACCGCGCGGCTTTTTCGAGAAGCGGGCTCGCAGGTCAGGGGTTAACGTCTGGATGACAGGGAAGATACAGATAAGCACAATAGCAAGAAAAAGCTCCAACTGGCCCAAACGAGGTGGGTCCTTTGTGATCTTGAACCTGTGACTTCCCTGGAGGAATCTCTCTGTTTGTTTAACCTGGTCGGGGAGCAGGGCAGGACCGCGGGCTGGGGCAGGGGAGGTCTGGTTTCTGCTGTTGGGGCAGGTTGGGGAGGAGGGGACTCAGAAACCTGAAATGAGGCTTTCAGATGAGTTTAGGCTGTCACACAAGTGAGGGCTGGAAACAGCAGATTCCTAGTTTAATTGAGACACTCAAGAGATGATGTAAGGCAAAGAACTAAGATTAAACTCCAGAGTTTGGATTCAAATTTTATCTCAATTGTGAAGACATTCAGATTTCATGTGGAGTGTTTACATTTCCCTCATTTTACAGAGGAAAAAAGGCTAAGGCAGTTTCAGGCACTCCACTTCTATGCCCACAGGACTGTATAGGAAGTGAAAATCCCAACTGAGGTATTGAGCCTTGTCTCCCAGCAGTGGCTACTTCTCTCTGTTGGATGTACAGGATGGCAAAATTACATCCCTGAAGTGCTATAGAGTAAAAGTTTTCTTATAGGATAAATTTTGCAGATCTATCAAATAGCATCTGGGAGATAAATTTACATCAAAAACCAGTGAAACATAAGCTTCCAGATGCTATGAAAATGGAATAGGAAGTTTTTATAATGACTAAGTTATTTTAAAATTGTATCTCCAGGGAGCCAACTGGAAAATTGCATTCTGGGTTTGAATTATCCCAGTCTTGGGAGTTTTCATGACTTGATGTTTCTATTTCAGTTCTTTCTTATTTATCAGAGAGATTTTAAATTCAACATTATGAGTGATCTTCTTCTGACCACTATGGACATTATGCTGTCCAAATAGTTGGCATCTAAAGCAGGACAGGTGAATGACACCTTGTAATTGACTGCAGCACTTTACTGACCACAAAGGGACTCTCTCTTCACTAGAAATCTAAAAGTAGAGGAGATAAATCCCACTCAGTGCCTACCAACTGTTCATTTTGCTTCAGATATCAGAAAACAACGTGATCTGAATTGTCCATGCAGCCTTTACCGCTGCTGCCAGGGCAGTTAGATATCTCATGCTTTGGCTGTGTTACAATTTACAGCTGCTAGTTTCTAGTGAGAGTCCTGTTGTTTGTTTCCTGCCTTCTTTGAAAACGGATTTTACATTTCCACCTCCATTTCCTAACAAGCAAGATGAGAATTTTTTTGAGAGTTCTGTTTTTGGGTCTAAAATGCTGTGGAAATACTCATCTAACTAAAATACTTGGGGAAAGACAGTGCATGGTGTTGTGCTTGTGGAACTCAACAGCACCTCCACCTATCCTGCTTATATTTTTCAGAGTTAAAAACTGGTGTTTAAAGTATTAGGTAAGCTGTTGAGAAATGAATTCACTTGAAATGGTGAAATAAGTTTTTGCCCCCAAAAGAGTATTTTTAAAAACTGTATAATTACATAGCTAAAATTTAGTTTACTTTTCTTTCTTTGCTTTGAAATGAAAGGGGTGTTCCTTTCTTGCATTGAAACTAAAACTGAACTCCTAAAAGTGACAGAATTTGTGATGAGCACGACTAAATTCAGCACAGAAGGCATAGTTCTTTTGATTTTTATTATGTTTTATAAAACAAAATCAAAAGAGGTCTGCCTTCCGTGGTGAGTGGAATGAAACC